AGAGAGAGAGAGAGAGAGAGAGAGAGAGAGAGAGAGAGAGAGTTTTTCCTTCATTTGTGAGAATTTTAGATTTGCTCCTTTGTTGTTAGGTAAGCAAATAGGAATTTGTTAGATGCATGAAAGATAGATAAATGCAGAGGTTTGCAGGGAAGGAAGGGGCAGGCGTTGCTTGCCCAGTGCTGCAGTAAACTCAGAAAGCTCACGGAGTGCTGTCTGTAAGGCATCTATTGGCCACTCACTGTCTTGGTTATCATCTGGGTCTTTGAGTCAGCATTTAAAATTCTGTGCTTTGGAGGACCCCTCAATCCTTTCAAATCCATCCATTGCCTCCAGGCAAAATAAATAAGTAACCAGGCAGTCTGTGATTTCCCTCCCACTCGCTGGAATTTCAAATTTAAAAAACAAAAAGTATCTGTCATTTCAAAGTAAGGGAAGAGCTGCCAGTGGCCATGCAGCTGAGGCACGGGAGTGTCTGGAGTGCCGAGAGTGCCGAGACTGGAGGATGGCTGTGGCCCTCCAGCAGTCTAGTTACCCCTTCTGAGCAGTTCTTAGACACATGTTACATGCAGTTCATGGTCTTGTGACATGAGCTCAGCAGCAGGCCCGCTGCCGTCACCCCTGCCCAGTTCGCAGCCACACATCCTGCCCTGGCCCAGTGCTGTTGCTAAGAGGTCTTTCCTTAAGGATCTGGGTTTCTGACATTTTCATTGCATCTCTGTAGCCAGATAAGTCAAAGGCTTGTCCACAAGAGTGTCCAGGGAAGTTAAGACCTGGTGCGAGAAAAGATAGGAGTGGGGTTCAGACCCCAGTGTGTCAGGCAACTTGTCACACAGGCACGCCATCGCCCCTGCCTCTGCAAGTCTGCTCAGGGACAGTAGGGGGTCCATGTCCATCCAAAGTGACCTCTCATCATCTCTCAATGTCCATTATTCCCTGTAGCTTGCTGATGACCGCATGGCACTGGTGTCAGGCATCAGCTTAGATCCAGAGGCAGCAATTGGTGTGACAAAGCGGTCACCTCCAAAATGGGTGGATGGAGTAGATGAAGTAAGTTAAACCATAGTTTCTAAGTGTTTTGTTTTGTTTGTTTTTTAAGTTTGTATGACAGCATAGCTTAAAATATCTGCCATATGAGTCAATTTGGTTCCAGTTAAAGTTTATCCTCAGACACACTCACACTTTGAATTTATTCATTTATATACTGCATAATCAAGTAAGAGTGTGTCTGTCTGTCTAGATAATTTGGACCTCACTTAGCAGTAACTTCTTGAATTAAAAAAAGAAATGAAAAACTATGGAATAAGGAAGAGTGTGTGCTTGTTTGTTTTAGGTTATTTATTTATTTATTTATTTATTTATTTATTTATTGGCTTTGGTTTTGAGGGGCAGGGCTTCTCTGTGTAGCCCTGAGTGTCCTAGAACTCACTCTGTAGACCATGTTGGCCTTGAACTCAGAGATGTACTCACTTCTGCCTCCCAAGTGCTGGGATTAAAGTCATGTGACACCACCGCCTGGCATACCAGTGTACCAGGGTATGTGCCTGTGCAGATTATAAAAGACCATTGGATCCCCTGGAACTGGAATGAAACAGATAATTATGAGCCACTATGTGGGTGCTGGGAACTGAACCCAGTCTTCCCCCACGGCAACAAGTGCTCTAGCCACCTAGCCACCAAGCATCTTGCCTTGCCAGCTTTTTTTTTTTTTTTTTTTTTTTTTTTTTGGTAACTTGAATTTTAAAAATTACTTGTGTGCCAGTAAGTCGCCAGATTCAACTAAAGGCAGAGCCTGGTGTAGCTAGTCATCATGAATGCATAAGGTTACCTGCCAGGCATGAGTGGGAATGTTGTGTGTTTAGGTACAGTACGATGTTGGCCGCATTAAACAGAAGATGAAGGAGTTAGCCAGCCTTCATGACAAGCATTTGAACAGACCTACCTTGGATGACAGCAGCGAGGAAGAGCATGCCATCGAGATAACCACCCAAGAGATCACACAGGTGAGGACACAAGACTGGCCTTGGAACGGCCACCTCCAGTGCCACAGAACCCCTATTCTAACCCGAGCAGTTGAGGTCCTGGAGTTTCATATTCCAGACTGAAGACCTCATGGGGACTTGGAAAAGTCCAAGGTCTATGAGTTGCCAGCATGTGTGTGTGGTTTCCTTGGAGGTATGGGCACAGTTCTTCAGTTGTTGGTAGATAGTAGAGTCAGCTTAGTAATGCATTTGGTCATTTGATGTTAAAATGTGTGGTTGCTGTCACACACCAGGACTTGCAGTTTTATGCAAAACACAGTGCTGTAAGAAGACATCTCAGGGATTTTATTGGAAACACTATTTAACCTTTAGGTGATGTGACTGTGTGTTCAAGTCTCCTTGTTACTTTGAGAGTAGTCATCCAAATGTCTGAAGCCTGCTCTGTGGCAGAGTCACTGTGAAATGTTTTTCCTCAGTCTCTGACTCAACCCTCCCATCTGTGAAGTGGGCACATACCGCGCATAACAGGATGTGGAGTGAGCAGATGAAGGCACACCATCGACGTTGTACAAACAGAAGGCGTAGTCTAGTTAGGTCTGCGTGTGTGAACACAAAACCTCTAGCCACCCCCCAGTACACGCATGTGCGCGCGCGCGGGCGTGTACACACACACACACACACACACACTTACACCTGCCCCGCCCAACTCTTTCATACCAGCCTGCAGAGCAGGCGCCTCCTGGCAGAGGCCTTGGCTAGGAGAGGCTTCTTGATGTAAGCCAGAGCTATCCTCTCAGCTCTTCCATAGGTGCCAGCGAGCCGTGCAGGCCCTGCCCAGCCAGGCACGAAGGGCCTGCTCTGAGCAGGAAGAGCGGCTACTGCGGAACGTGGTGGCGTCCCTGGCACAGGCCCTGCAGGAGCTGTCTACCAGCTTCCGGCATGCACAGTCCGGCTACTTGAAACGTGAGTGCTGCCAACCCTGGCTGAGGGACTCTCGTGTAAGAAACTGTTTTCTGCCATCCTTTGGGGGCCTTTCACTGTTAGCAGCTGGTTAGCACATTCACTCACACCGGGGAGACCTCACCAAGGCCGGAAGGTCTGGCTCCTGGTGCAGCAGTAAAGACAGTTCTTGTCCAAGGCAATAGCACCCAGCCCCGGCTGTGGACAGACTTTGACAGTCACGGCATATTTAGAAAAGAAGGCTTGTTGTGGTGTTGGGCTTTGGAACTCTGGTGACACGCATGTCAGAGCCACACCCTCACGCAGTGATGACGACCCGCATGTCAGAGCCACCCCCTCACGCAGTGAGGACGACACGCATGTCAGAGCCCCCCCCTCACGCAGTGATGACGACCCGCATGTCAGAGCCACCCCCTCACGCAGTGAGGACGACACGCATGTCAGAGCCCCCCCCTCACGCAGTGATGACGACCCGCATGTCAGAGCCACCCCCTCACGCAGTGAGGACGACACGCATGTCAGAGCCCCCCCCTCACGCAGTGATGACGACCCGCATGTCAGAGCCACCCCCTCACGCAGTGAGGACGACACGCATGTCAGAGCCCCCCCCTCACGCAGTGATGACGACCCGCATGTCAGAGCCACCCCCTCACGCAGTGAGGACGACACGCATGTCAGAGCCCCCCCCTCACGCAGTGATGACGACCCGCATGTCAGAGCCACCCCCTCACGCAGTGAGGACGACACGCATGTCAGAGCCCCCCCCTCACGCAGTGATGACGACCCGCATGTCAGAGCCACCCCCTCACGCAGTGAGGACGACACGCATGTCAGAGCCCCCCCCTCACGCAGTGATGACGACCCGCATGTCAGAGCCACCCCCTCACGCAGTGAGGACGACACGCATGTCAGAGCCCCCCCCTCACGCAGTGATGACGACCCGCATGTCAGAGCCACCCCCTCACGCAGTGAGGACGACACGCATGTCAGAGCCCCCCCCTCACGCAGTGATGACGACCCGCATGTCAGAGCCACCCCCTCACGCAGTGAGGACGACACGCATGTCAGAGCCCCCCCCTCACGCAGTGATGACGACCCGCATGTCAGAGCCACCCCCTCACGCAGTGAGGACGACACGCATGTCAGAGCCCCCCCCTCACGCAGTGATGACGACCCGCATGTCAGAGCCACCCCCTCACGCAGTGAGGACGACACGCATGTCAGAGCCCCCCCCTCACGCAGTGATGACGACCCGCATGTCAGAGCCACCCCCTCACGCAGTGAGGACGACACGCATGTCAGAGCCCCCCCCTCACGCAGTGATGACGACCCGCATGTCAGAGCCACCCCCTCACGCAGTGAGGACGACACGCATGTCAGAGCCCCCCCCTCACGCAGTGATGACGACCCGCATGTCAGAGCCACCCCCTCACGCAGTGAGGACGACACGCATGTCAGAGCCCCCCCCTCACGCAGTGATGACGACCCGCATGTCAGAGCCACCCCCTCACGCAGTGAGGACGACACGCATGTCAGAGCCCCCCCCTCACGCAGTGATGACGACCCGCATGTCAGAGCCACCCCCTCACGCAGTGAGGACGACACGCATGTCAGAGCCCCCCCCTCACGCAGTGATGACGACCCGCATGTCAGAGCCACCCCCTCACGCAGTGAGGACGACACGCATGTCAGAGCCCCCCCCTCACGCAGTGATGACGACCCGCATGTCAGAGCCACCCCCTCACGCAGTGAGGACGACACGCATGTCAGAGCCCCCCCCTCACGCAGTGATGACGACCCGCATGTCAGAGCCACCCCCTCACGCAGTGAGGACGACACGCATGTCAGAGCCACACCCGCACGCAGTGATGACGACACGCATGTCAGAGCCACACCCTCACGCAGTGACGCCTGCATGGTCCTTGGGGCTTGAAAGTAGGGTGAGAGTACTCTTGCATCAGCTCACCCTGTGACTGGGTTTTTCTGTATTGTCATTGTAATGGATAAAACCTCACTTACTCCTGAGACCCTGCTCCCCTTCAGCTGCATGTCATAATTTCATGTCCTGAGAATCTGACCAGAATGCTTACAGGAAATGCCCCAGGAGAGGAGAAGACTGGTTCTGTGTTAATGTGTCTTCAGAGGAGTTAGAATAACTGTTTGTGTGGCTTGGAGAGTCTCAGGTGGCCGTGTCCTGTCTGTCTTGATGTCCAGTGAACTGGGCATTTACCGAGTGACTGCCCTGAGTACCCTGGATATTTGCATGCGATTGTAGTGCATTACCAACCCCCCCTGCCCCCCTCTGTAGGTGGGCTTCTTCAGACCTGTCTAGGGGGCCTCCCCCTGCTGTTAGGTTTTACTCTAGATTGCCTTTTTTCATGGTGGAACAGTAGCCACGCGCATTCAAAGTGGGCTCCTGTCTGGTAGGCATGAAAAACCGAGAGGAAAGGTCTCAGCATTTCTTCGACACGGCAGTGCCACTAATGGATGATGGGGATGCTGCTGCTCTGTACGGTCAGGTATGTGATGAGGCTCACATCCACCCCTGCTTTGCCTTACTTCCTTGCTCCACTGCAGTTGGGGGTGGGGGGTGGGGCTGTTGTCTTGTATCTATTGAGTAGTCCTTGCCACAGGCAGAATGGCCATGCTGTGCCCCCTCCCAGGGAGGCCTCCAGTGTGTTTCCCAGAACCTGAGATACACAAAGCCATCCACATAGCCCTGTCAACTACTGTATTACACACTGTGATGCTTTATAAAAATACTTTCAGGCCAGTTGGTGGTGGTGCACGCCTTTAATCCCAGCACTCGGGAGGCAGAGGCAGGCGGATCTCTGAGTTCGAGGCCAGCCTGGTCTCCAGAGCAAGTGCCAGGATATGCTCCAAAGCCACAGAGAAACCCTGTCTCGGAAAAAAAA